TTAATTATTAAAAGTAAAATGGTTTTTTTTTTGGGTGCGGTGTTATTAATTTGAGTGCGATAAATATGAATTGAGTAAAAGTAATTCAACAAAATCACGGCAGATATCTCATCTCATCTCTCATGACTTGACATTAACTAACATAATTTTGATCGGCCCATTTTCCATTCACAATTGCAAAGCCCACAAACCCCTTAACCATCTCCGTCTGCACACTCGCTCTCCCTTCCCCCGACGTAAGAAATGAAATATATTAAACGGAACCCCAAACTCAATTATTAATCTAAAAAAGTCAGTGAGACCAAACCAAACCAAACCCCTCCGACGTAACGTAACGCAGTTTTGAAACTGAACCAATTAAAATGGCCCTTTCCCGAAATCAATCACACGCGCCCCACCGCCGATTACCTCTTTTGTTCACGCCAAATACCGTCTTCCCCACGCGCTTTCGCCATCCGGCGCCCTTGCCGCACCTTTGTTTTTATTCATTCACCCCCCCACCCACTCCCCTTTCTCTTCTCTCTCGCCCCAATTCTTTATCTCTTCTTCTTTTCTTTCCCTTTCGCCTGATTTCTGACGTTCAATCCATTTTTTTTCCCCCAATTCATGGGCGATTTGACGGAATCATCGACTCCGCAGCCGCCGGCGCCGGCCAAGCAACCCCCTTTCCGCGAGGACTGCTGGTCGGAGGAGGCCACGTGGACTCTGGTCGACACCTGGGGACGCCGCTACCTAGAGCTAAACCGCGGAAATCTCCGCGGCAAGGACTGGCAGGAGGTCGCCGACGCCGTCAACTCCCTCCACGGCCACACCAAGAAGACCCGCCGCACCGACGTCCAGTGCAAGAACCGGATCGACACTCTCAAGAAGAAGTACAAGGTCGAGAAGGCCAAGATCTCGGATCCCACCGCCTCCACCTGGCCCTTCTTCTCCCGACTTGACTTTCTGATCGGATCTGCGAACGCCAACAAACAACATAGCAGGCCCGCTCCGCCGGCGGCTTCCCCTGTTCAGACGCCCTTGTTGATGCCTCCGCCGCCGCCCCTGGGCCTCCCCTCGCCACCAATGGCGGTGCCCATTCCCTTCCGCAAGCCGCTGACTCCCGCCATGGTCACACCGGTGGTCCTTCCCCAGAAGCGTCCGGCTGTCGATGAGTCCTTCTTCAGGAGGAATTACTCGGCTATGGCGGCAGCAGCGGCGGCGGCCGCCACTGAAGAGGCGGAGGAAGAGGATGAGGAATCTGAGGGGGAGGGAAGCGGTGGTCGAGCGGCGGAGGAGGTGGATGAAGGGGAGGATGGCGTGAGGAGGTTGGCAAAGGCCATTGAGAGGTTTGGTGAGATATACGAGAAGGTGGAGAACATGAAGCAGAGGCAGATGGTGGAGCTGGAGAAACAAAGGATGCAGTTTGCTAAGGATTTGGAGGTTCAGAGGATGAGGTTGTTTATGGATACACAGGTTCAGCTCGAGAAGCTTAAGCAGGCCAAACGCTCGGGTTCTTCAGGTACTTATGAAATGCATCAAAAAGTGGTCTTTTGGTGTTATGTGCAAAGGTTTTGTGTTGATTATCACTTGCAGAGGCCAAAGGAATTGCATTTGGGTTGAATTTATGCAGTATAAGGATATCTATGATAAATCTAGCTGAGCTGATAAGTTATATGATTGTTCATAAGTTAATTTCAAACTGATAGTTGATACCTTATTGCGGTTGATGACTAGGAAACTAGCTGATATAATTAAAATGTTTGATGTAGTGCTTCTTCTATTAGTGAAGTTTCTACAAAAAAATATATCAAACGACGTAATGCACCTTGGGTCGCTAAGGAAACAGCCTCCCTTGTATAATTACAAGGGTAAGGTCTACGTACAACTGACCCCCCAGACCCCAACTTGTTGGGAATATACGGGGTATGTTGTTGTTGTACATAGAGAAGTATCTAAGATAAGTTCATCCTCTAGTTCCTACTAAACCATATTTATTTAGATAGAAGAAGCTTATAAGCTAACTTATTAAGCTATAAATTAACTTATGATGTTTACAAAGCACCTATAAGTTGACGTTCTTAATTATTAGTCATGTGTTCTGTTTGATTAGGTAGAATTTGGTTTTTGGGTTTCGGAGCACTGAATGCCTTTCTATGTCGTTTGGTTCATCTGTTTTATTTCATACTCTTATAGGTAAGAGGAAGTAATTCTTGAGTGTAGGTTGTGATGTGTTGTCTTGTATGTTTAGAGTTAGGATTCGGAGGAGGAAATGAAAGGGTGCCATATGATAGACAACATTTCTTCAAATAAAGGTCAAGATTTCGAATATTAATGTAAGGTACTTGGGGCCCTTAGATTCTTTGAGAATAAATGATTTGGTTATTATCTTCATTTCCAATGGACAAGTTGGTGCATAGTTTGCGATTTTGTTTGGACTTCATAAATGTTGTGCAGTTCCATTCTCTGATAGCTAAGCTAAGTTACGTTTATTTGCACTGCTATATATGATCGT